GAAGGACGCCATGGAGATCGGGGGTTATCAAAGCCTCAAGTGGGCGCAATGGCCGTAGTCGCTGGCAACTCCTGCTGGAAACAACAACGCGAAACTTTCAATGGCCCCATGCCCTATATAATAGGTTCTATGTCCCAGTTGTAGATATCAGCGAATAATGAAAACAGTAGCACGACACAGGGAGAACGGATTTGACGAGTGTCTAGAGAACCAGGGACACGGGTGGCGACGCTCTTCTCTGGTATGATGCAGGACAGAAGTAGCTAATAAATCGGAGCTTACCCATCTTGTATAAGGTTCAACGGCGGAAAGGAGGAATTGGATTCGGAAAAAGCGAAAAGGAAGATGCCTGGCATAGAAAAAAAAGCTGTATGTCAGTTTGTAGTCCTTGAGATACGTAGCGGAGGGAGTAAGGGGCAATGTATGTGTATATGGCCGCGACGTTGTCACGGCAGTACCCCGTACTTTCTTCTCTCTTCAAATCATCGAAATATTTCGGAAATAATTCAGAGTCCAGTGCCAATTCAGGGTGGAATGGGAACAAACTTAAAATAAAAGAAGATCGAACAACAAGGGGGAAACATGGGGCTTCACTGCCTTACCTAGAGATTTTTTTTTTTTTTCGGCCCAATGGATACGGGATGGAGAATGCAACAAAAGAGGTGGGAGGTACAAGCTCAGAGAGCTGTCTAGACAAGACGAATGAAGAATGATATTCTCTCTTTATATAAAATAAAATAAGGAACGGACAACTGAACGAAGGTGGACGGGCAACGTAGGACTCAATTGTGAGCGAAGGTTGTGGGAAGGCCTTCACCTAGAGTTGAGTTAAGAGCACGGGTTTAGAAGAAATAGCAAGAAGAGACAGAAGAGAAGGAGAAGAAGAGAAGAAGCAGAAGAAAAGGAGGAGGAAGAGGAGGAAGAGGAGGCAGGGATATCTCCTACAGGCGCTGGCGAAGGCGAGAGAGTTGGAAGAGGAAGAAGGGAGGAAGAAACGAAGAGAAACACAGAAAGGGGTCGAACGGCCATGGTTGGTATGGCCCGTACTCCGTCCGTATGGGCGGTCCTGTGCTGGCGTGTGCCAGTACGCGCACATACGGCGGTATTTGTCGTTCTCCCTGACTATGCCGTTTTGGGCGCCCTGCGACAGCGCCGTACCAACTGATACGCTGAAACACGCCCCCTGGTATGGGAACGTGGTCCCGGAAAAAGCATGTTCCGCTGGCTGCTGAGTATCAGGATTACCACAGGATTACTAGGCCCGCACGTCGACAGCCCGCGCTTGGCCCGATCGGGCAACCTATCGTCGTCTCGCTCGATTGGGCTGAATCTGCAGCCCCTTTCAGGTGGAAGTCTTGGCAGCCTTGGCGTCCCGAGGCGCCGCTGACAGGGTCCTAGAAGGTCACGTGGAAGTCCAGCCCTCTACCGGAATTACTTTACGCCGCGGGCGTGCAACGACACGGAATATTCTGAGATAGGGCATCCGTGGTACAGCTGCAGAGGCAGAAAATATGCAAGCAGCAAGACCGAATCCCTTTCCGCTACGGTACATGTGCTAGCTTCCTGGGTATTATTCGCCTGGACTTATTTGTCCGACAATAGGCTGGATGGACTGGTATCCGGCACAGTTTTTCAATACTGTTGCCCCGCCGTCTTCCCCGTTCGCCCTCATTGTTCTCAACCAGCCAATCAACCAGCATGTATACAGAGTCCTCAACAAGCATGGTGAGTTTCTCGTCAATATATATTAATTAATTGGACAAAACTGATTCTCTGGAACCAACCCAGCACGTTTCACAATATGTGCAGATGGCGGGGCCAATCACTTGTACAATCTTATGCGAACATCAGGCAAGGAGTCAACGGAGGTAGATACATATTCAACCCCCAGATTGCGCAGTTGTAGGAACAAATTAAATATATATATTAAAAGAAAGAAAAAAAAAAAAAAACAATAAAAAGACCATTCAAGAGTGTTCCTTTCTAACCATCGACAACCAGCTCCCCGATGCAATAGTTGGGGATCTCGACTCCATTCTTCCAGAAGTCCGTAAACACTATGAGGACCTGCACGTCCCCGTCATCCACAACCCGGATCAATATTCTACAGACGTCACGAAATGTCTGCGCTATCTGCGCTCGCGTACGCAGAGCCTCGCCGTATCCAGCAGCAACGGGGACGGAACGGCGCCACCTGCACAAGCAGACAATCATGATTTAGATATCAACGTCCTCCTCCTAGGCGGGCTGGGCGGACGAGTAGATCAGGCCTTTTCGCTCATCAATCACCTATGCATCTCGTCAACTTCATCCTCATCCTCCGCTCCGCCCCACACCCAAAACCAAAACCACCTCTACCTAATCTCCGAACAAAGCATCTCCTTCCTCCTCCACCGCGGCCATAATAGAATCCATACACCAGGCGGCTCCTTGATGGGTACATCACCAACAGCGGCGCCAGCGTCATCACCAGCGCCAATAACAACAACAATGCCCTTCGCCGAAAACGTTGGCATAATCCCCATCGCCGGCCCTGCCGTGATCACCACCCGTGGCCTCGAATGGGACATCACTGACTGGAAAACGCAGTTTGGCGGCCAGGTTAGTACGAGCAATCATGTGCGCAGTGACGTTGTGGAGGTGGAGGTGCCGGGGGAGGCGCCGGTGTTGTTTACGTTAGAGTTGGCGGCGTGGGTGAATGAATGATGATGTAGCATGCGGCGGGGGATCGTGAGGTATAGATAAAATCCTGGCAGGGATTTTATTTTTATTTTTATTTTTTTTTTTTTTATTTTTTATTTTTTTTTTTTTTTTCAAGTATAGTTATAGATTTTCGTTTTTCTTTTCTCCTTCAAAAAACACGATAGATGGATGGCCTTATATAGACCAGACACAACTAGCACACGCCGTGAATGAAAGAACATTATCCTTCCCTTTCCTTCCCCTCCACCCACCTGGCGAAGAAGAAAGTCGTCCATCCACAGCTTTCTTTCCAGTCAAAAGAGGCATTAAAATAAATTATCTTCAACGAGGCACCAGGTAGCAATATCAAATACATACATACATACATACATAGGCTATTTTTTTTTTTTTTTTTTGGATTAAAAACTTTTATTTTTTCTTCGTTTCTATCGTCGAATGAATTAAAATTCCCGACCTCTTGTAACTATTCACATCCCGCCAAGTCGAAGCAAGTAAAATAGGTATGCGAAGGACAGGTGGGAGGCATGATGCATTGCACATGTTTCCCAAAGAAAGGAGAGCCAGAGAGAAAATGTGAAAGCAGAAAGGGGAGGATTGCGCGGTTCGGTTTCTTTTTTCTTTCTTTCTTTTTTTCTTGAAGTGAGAGGAAGTGAGAGGAAAAAAGAAAGAAAGAAAGACCCTCCCCTCTCGTTTCCTTTCTAAGGAGAAGCGCACCGCAGAACCACAAACGGAGGGTTGTGATTTTGTATCTATTTTCTTTTTTACGTTTTCCTTAAAAGTTTGTTTGTTTGTTTTTAGTTTTTTTTTTTTGCTT